GTATCCTTCAGCACCCTATTCTCCATATATGGCTGATCATCGACTGCCAAATATTATCCTCCCAGCTTGTGCATCAACAATGTTCCTTGACAGCAGTGTTCCTTGACAGCTCCGTCGAGGTATATGTGTAACTTCTCGATTCCAAACAAGTGGAACACATATCACAAACAAGCCATCCTGTATATCCACATCTTGTCATCTTCTCTTCAAACAAAAACAACAATCATAACCAATTACATTAAACACAATTTTTGTATATTTTTTAATACAAAACATACACGAAGTGATACTCTGAAAATCAGAGGACTTTTTCATCGTGATTAGCAAGCCTACTAAGTCTACCGTATGTATTTATATGGTGCTTGATACTACAATTTCCATATAGAGTTTCATGTAGTTTCTCAATTCTAAAATCACTGCTCTCTCCTTAATTTTCGCTAAAGGTAAATTAGTAATTGGCCAACATGGAAGAAACTACTACGTGTTGTGTCCTTGCATTTTTCAATTTATATTTAAATTTGTACTTTTTTATCTTTGTTTTTATCTCTTTCTAACTTGCTCTGAAATTCCCTCCATCGTGCAATAGTTTGCGCCCCTTTCACTTCACAGTACAAGGCCGCCTTTGAAAATCAATCTTCCGATCTCTTGGCACTACTATTTATTCTTGGGGATTTAAACTTGGCAAGTAAAAGATTTCTACTCCGATATCAATCCATGGCGAATAGAATGGAGTTCAATAAATGGAGGTGCAGAAGGAGGATTGAAAATTGAATTTTTTGGTTGAAACATACGCCTCTTGATATTGAAGATAGAGTGGATAAAAAATTTATTGTACAACGAAGAGTGGTGGCTATTCGATCTTTATGTTTATGGTTTTTGAAGCTATTGCATCCTAATATATCTTATAACGTGCAATCATCGATTGATTTATTGAAGTAGGTCGGTCGATTCTTTATTCAACCTACTAGAAATGATAAAGAGTGTAATTTTGTTCCTTATTACTTTGATCGAGTCTATTAGTATATTGGAGGTAACCCTAATTTTGGCTTTGCTATAAAGTTGTGATGATCCCCTCTTAGCTGAGTTGTTAGCATATAGTTGACTTGAATCACCAACTCTCCATTTCTTTTTGATTAGGTTTGTTCCTAAAAGAAGAGCATTGAACCGTTATGTAGGATTGCGAGGTTTAAAATTTAGTTTCAAACTATCTATGGTTCATGAGGGAATTTCAGTGAGCATTTATACTCTATCTTTCTTGACAATCAACTAACTTATATCATTTACCGGTTACTTAATTATCATTATGAAAATGATATCAATGTTACATTTTTATATATCTCCAAATGTTCGATCTATATATTCTTTCTTTATGTATCATCTCGATCGAATGATTGCCAATAAAATTAAACGGATTGATAAATTTAAATGTAACATGAAAATATAAATATTCCGACCAATGGGCCAAGTTATAAACTAGTGAATAATAAGCCACACCAGGAATCTATTCCTTGGAATAGAACAACCTTCCCATATGAGTTTAGCCCAAGGTAGTTTTATTGGTAAAATACCTTGGGTACCACTAAAGTATGAGAATTGGGGCAGGTATACCACTTAAGTTTGAATAGTGCTTCAAGTACCACTGAACTCTATTATATGTGCATTCGGTACCACTTAAGTTTACTGCTAAATGCATTCTATAAAAGTTGATAGAATATTCTTGAAATATTCTGTTTTCTAAATTTCAGAAATGATCCTTCTACTTATTATTGTTGTAAAGAATCCTCTGTACTTATGAAAAACATCATTTGTTTTTATTGTTTAGTTTGAATCTTCTTTTGAAGACTCTGGTACCGAACCAATATTTCAATATGAAATTTATAATCAATTATCATTATAAGTATTTTCAATTATCATTATGTGTTCCAATAATTGAATTAATCTCTGAAGTAAATATATCCTATGAATTTTATCTTGATATAAATAATCTAAAGATGTTATATTTAGTTTACTTACATCATGTTGATGTTGTTTTATTTTCCATGTTAAATCTCCTTGTAAGCTTCTAATATTATATTGTAGATGTTTCATATTAGTTAAATTTACTAATTCTAATTCTTTTACAATAGTCATATTTTCTTTTCTATATTTGAAATTGAATGTTTTAGCTTTTATAGTTTACTTATTACTGGGTTGCTTTCCGTCTCTTTTCGTTCTTTTTTTTTTCAATTAATGGAATATGTTTAATTTTCAAATGGTGTCCCATTTATCCTTCTTTGGTCTTGATGTATTGATGGTCAATTAGGTTTTATTTTAACTGATTTTAGTGGTGCTTTTAATTAAATTAGAGATTTAAATAGATATCTAATATTAATTATTTATTATTATCTTTTAGTATATTATATTCTTTCTTGATATTCGTTTATTATTTTTTACTCATTTATCTATTATATTTAAAAAATTTCATTAGTCATTCTAGTAGTACTATGTTTAGAAGGTTTTCTAATTTTTATATTAGATAATACTTGTTGAAATGTAACTTTTGATGTTTTTATAAGTTTTGAGTACCAAAAGGTAATTAAAAGCTTGAGTTGGATGGAAAACTAGACGGATGCACTTTATGTGGACTTTAATGATACCCGACGCCCTATTCAAACTTAAATGTATCTTGTTTAAACTAAAATAATTTTCATTAATTATTACATGTATGAAATGCTTGGCGAATTTAAGTAGCTGGAGCAAATCTCTCAAATTCTACGCAATTCAGAAAGTTCAAACGTCCACCATAGTATCTGACAGTCTCTGCGAAAAAATGGTGGGGGGAGCAAGAAGGGTTGTTCTCCTCCCTCGTCGTGAAGTTGAAGTGGGTGACAATTGCAAGCTGAACGAGCATTCTACTACTACCTCTAGGCTCATCGAACACATACTTGACGTGAACGGCTATTTGCCGCCAACCAAATCGCTATTTGCCGCCAACTAAATTATTATTATTATTTTTGAATTTTCCCTTTCTTTCATTCTATAAATTTGGATACCAATAACATTTGACTCATTCCAACAAAAATTTCTGTCGTCGAGCCCAGTGCATCCATCGCCGGCCAACCTCTCGTTGTCCTCAACCGTCGGAAAACAAATAAGTTTAATTTTTCCGGCAACTTTTTCAGTTTTCTGGCGAGAATGACGGCAGGCCGAAAAAAATTGTGGCCGGGACGCCGCCGAGCCAAAAATTTCTGTCGGCGTGGCGGCGTCACGCCGCAACTTTTTTCCAGTTCGCCGCCGAACACGCCGACCGATATTTTTCTGGCAGTGTGTACGATGGTCGGTCAAAAATTTTTTGCGGTCGGGGCGCCTCCGGGCCGAAAGAGATTTTCGGCCTGCTCTCCTCCTGGCTCGGCTGCGCACCAACCGCAAATTTTTTCGGCCCGGCGGCGCACCGACCGCAAATATTTTCGGTCTGACCGGATTTTGCAGGCAATTTTATTTTATATGTTAATTAATTAGTCAGTAGAAAATTAATGAGTTAATAGAAAATTAATTAATTAGTGATTGATTAAATAATTAATGTTAATATTCAGTACATTAGTTAATAGAAATTAACAATTAGTGTTAATATTTATTTAAATTGGTGTATGAATATTTGATTACTTAAATGATTTAATAGAAAATTAATTAATTAGTGATTGATTTAACAATTAATATTAATATTTAGTACATTAGTTAATATAAATTAGTAATTAGTGTATTTCAATTGGTGTATGAATGTTTAATTACTTAAATTATTTAATAGAAAATTAATTAACTAGTGATTGATTTGAAAATTAATGTTAATATTCAATACTTTAGTTAATAGTAATTAGCAATTAGTGTATTTCGATTGGTGTATGAATGTTTAATTACTTAAATTAGTTAATAGAAAATTAAGTAATTAGTGATTGATTAACAATTAATGTTAATATTCAGGACATTAGTTAATAGAAAATTAATTAATTAGTGCGCATCTAAGTATAATTTGTAGATAATTAGATATGGATGATGCGGGTGGGAGTGAGTTGCCTAGATTCGATGGTAGGATTGTTTATGCATCAACACGAAGGAAGGTGCCCAAGAAGAATAAGGAGAAGAAGCGCTCTCGACAGATTGGACATCAGTCAGAGGCAGATTTAGGGGATGATGAGTTAGAGGCTCCTACTATAGTTGCTCGTTCGGCATCACGGGCGTCTGGTTCCCATGGGAGGAACCCGAGTGCTGCATCGAGGGTGATCTCGGTTGAGTTTGATCTGGACGATACTGATGAGGATATCCAGGTCCCTCCACCTAGGCGAGGACATGGACGAGTGTCGTCTTGTACGACAACATCACGTCCTGCTATGTATAGGGACTGAGTTGAATGGTTCGTACCACCTACTCATGAGAAGACAGAGATCTCCGGGACTAGACGGAGTAGGGGAGGACGTTCGAATGGTTCTCCACCGTGGGAGCTTGTTGGTGAGTGTCCTGGTGGACCTACGGATCCTAGCCTCATTAGGGGCATCCGTGGCCACGCTGCCTATGCGCTTTGGACGAGGATTGCAGATCGAGGGGTCATTAGGTTCTACAGTCGTACATCGACGGTTGATTATCTGGGTAGCTACGTGTTTACGCATGTTTGTGCGGAGGATCTGGTTCAGCAGCTAGGTCTCCATCACCTGATCTACTCTATGTTCCGCAAGATAGCAATTGACGAGGCTTTGATCTCAGCTTTTGGGGAGAGGTGGCAGCCAAACACGAACACCTTCCACTTGCCTTTTGGAGAGATGACGATCCTCCTCCACGATGTTCAGTACTTACTGCAGATTCCTGTTGAGGAACGACTGATGAGTAGAACTTCTGCGCAGTGTGACCATCCAGAGGTGGGTTTGTGTGCGCTTCTTGGGATGAACTCGGATTAGCTGAGTGGTCGGTCAGAGGCCCCTGGATATGTTAGTAAGGGTAAGTGGTACAACAAGGACGGTTTTCTTGCGGAGATGCTTGTAGGCGAACGAGACACATGTGACAGAGGCGCAGTCATACTTGTTGTTGCTGTTGGGGTCCACTTTGTTTGTGGACAAGGCAGAGACAGGGTTCGGCCGGTGGTGAACCTATTTTTGGACGAGTTGGAGGAGGTAGATCAATACAGTTGGGCGTCAGGTACACTTGCTTGGTTGTACAGATACCTTGGTCAGGCGTCTCGAGCTGGTGCAGGGGGTGGCTGGTTGTCTCACACTTCTGCAGTGTTGGATCTACGAGTAATTTTCGAGTTTCAGGCCATCTCACTTTGAGCCACCCGTCGTTGGATCTGATGAGGCTAGGGCTTCACGATGGATTGGGAAGCCGACACCTGGTTCTGTGGCGTATCCCAGTGTGAAGTTGGCGTTCTATCGTCGAACCCTTGACAGCTTGACTCCTTCTGATGTGTTTTGGACACCTTTCCATCAGAGGCTTTCCATCAAAGGCCTCATCAGGCAGTGCGTCGCTCTTGACGGCTTGACCCCTTCTGATGTGTTTTCAACTCCTAAACTCTAAATTCAATTCTTACACGCTAAATTCAACTCCTAAACTCTAAATTCAATTCTTACATGCTAAATTCAACTCTTAAACGCTAAATTCAACTCCTAAACTCTAAATTCAACTCCTAAAATCGAATTTTTCCAAAAAATTCCAAACACAGACTGTGGGCCGAAATTTTCCGGCGGCCGAAACCTGGCCGGGCCAAAAATTTTCCGCGGCCGGAACCATGCAGGTCCGCCTGAAATCGGTTACCGGAGCCAGGCTGAGCCGAAAACATTTTGTAGCTCAGCCTGTCTCCGGCCACAAATTTCCATCGGCCCGGCTAGGTTCCGGCCGCCGGAAAATTTCGGCACGCCGTCTGTTCGTTGAAAATTGTCGGAAAAATTGTTCAAAACTACAAAAAAACGACGCACCTGCTTAGGGATGATTCATGGATGCGTGTCCGCAGTTTACGTCGAGGTTCGGCTTTCCCGATGATTTTTTGGCGACTTTTCCGACGAGCGTTGATTTTTACTGATTCAATACGTTTTCTGAAAGTTGGATATGTTGTAGATTGTGAAACTCCTTAACCAAAAATGTACATATATACTTTTTTTTTAGTTGGTGGCAAATAGAAATTTGGTTGGCGACAAATAGCAAGTCCCATACTTGACACCTTGCATCATGGCAAGACCAAAATTCGATGCAAAGCAAAGCTAAGCAAGTATTCAATCCAATGGCAGCAACTTGTGTGGGAGTTAATTATTGAGGTAAACTGACGCTAGCCAGGGAATTATATTAACCATAGTTCAAGAAGGTATAATTCTGCGCACTCTTCTGGGCAGTGACAAAACGGCTTCGCTCATATCCTAGGGCAGACAATTAAGCGTTTCATATAAATGTCAAAGTTACTATTAGGCATAGTTAGTAAATACTCCGTTTAATACACATACATTTCCCCGTTCATTTGATGACTCCCCTACTAAACACGTAATAAACTCGTATAACACATTTAATATCCATATTTAATGAATTAAATTATTAACTTTAATATTATTTATATATATAGATATATTTTAAATAATTAATTTTATATATTTATGACTATTAGTGTACTATTAAATGTAACAATAGTTTAGAGACGAAGTAAAATACCCGTACATATTTTATACGTAATTTTTCCGTACTGTATTTTACTAACTAGATATGCTCTTAAGGGAACAACTAGGCACAATAAATCGGTGCAAGACGTGATTAATCGAAGCGAGACACTGATTAATTGCACTTAGCAGACCAAGGATTTAATTAAAAATTGTAATTACTAATCTTTCCAAAACAAACCAACTCCAGCTACCATATCTCGAAATGCATCCTGCACTCAGTTCCTCGATCTGGAATTACAATTCTAAGTCTAGACATATTTTGATTATCTTTTATAGTTAGTTAAGTTATTAATCATTTGAAATCAAACTAAGTGAAAAACAACATGTTATAAAATCGTTATTTCTACTTAAAGTCGCCGTTTTGCACAAACCACCGGCCTCACGCTTTTTCTGAACCCTCATATCAACTAAGAAACAGAAGACAAATCAGAACCAAGTGGTTCTTCTGGTACCTTATTCTTCTCGTTGTAAGAGTCCAATGCTTCCTTGACAAGTATGGTGGTTTCCCTTTCGTGATTTCCCGTTCTTCTTCGGTCTCATCATCAAAGTTAAGCAACGTGTAATGTAAATCGAGTACATCCAAAATTAATCGTGAAACTGGTAACAAAAACAGAAACCTTGCTACCAGCTAATTCTGGAAGAACAAGCAAACATACAAAATGAAGAAGAAAAATAATTCACCAACCACAATGGTGTTTTCGGGTCCATGTTAGTCCACGAACATGCCACCAATTGGGAGTGCGGATCTGGTGACTAAGGGGGGGGGGTGCTTAGTCACTTGACTAAGCCTCTCCTAGCCATTAGATCTGGACACTTCAATCCAATGGTTAAAAAGTGGGAAGGACTATTTAATTAATGGCAGGGGTAGTTTGGGTATTATGAAAAATTACGAAGTATACAAACCGGATTTACAATCAGTACAAACCATACAAACATACGAACAGTACAAACTAGAGCGACAAAACATACAAACAGATTTACAAACATTACAAACGTATGAACTGTACAAACAATACAAACTAGACCGACAAACAATACAAACCATACAAAAAGAAAAAACAACCGGGTTGACTTTTGAGGCTCCATCCTATATAGAGGGGCTCCTTTCCAAAGTCAACCCGGGTGTTTTTTAGACATACAAACAGTACGAACATGGTGGACAAAAATGACAAACTAGACCGACAATCCATACGAACTGAAAAAACACTCGGGTTGACTTTGGAGGCTCCATCCCTATATAGAGAAGTTCCATCCAAAAGTCAACCAGGTTGTTTTTTAGACATAAAAAAACATTACAAACATGGTTGACAAAAATGATAAACATGGTGCACAAAAATAACAAAGTTTACAAACATTACAAAAAACCCGACAAACATTACAAAATAACAAAGCGTACAAACATTACTAAATAAACCGAAAAACAGTACAAAGCATACTAACCGTACAAAATGTCACTAAAAATAACAAACAATACAAACCGAATCTATACAAACATTACAAAATAAGTCAGTAAACATCACAAACTCAACACTGTCGCCGGGAATCTCTCTCTCTCTCTCTCTCTCTCATAATTCCACTGGTGGAAACAATCCCCCCTGGAAAAGGAAGCCGGCTGGGAAAAATAATTCCCCTGGTGAATCCAATCCCCCTGGAAAGAGAAGCACGCCGCCACCGGGAAAATTCCCATCGGAACAATTTCCCCGCCGGAAGGGAAGCCGGACGTCGGCAGGCGGCGGACAGAGGAGTGACGCTTATTATTTTGTTTTAATTAATTCATAAATAAACATTGTAATTACCATAGTGTCCTTCATTAAATTGAATTAATTTGGACCATTAGATTTTAATGAGGTTCAATGGCTAAGATTGACTTAGTCATGTGACTAAGGGACCCCTCAGTCACCAGATCTTAGCCCCACCAATTGGTCATAATATTTGTTGTTGCAATTACGTCTGTACTCATCCAATGTTTTAGGCGACTCGTCCTCCTCCTCCTCGATAGCATCGCGAGCTCCCACATCGGTAGCTTCTCTTCTCCTGGCGCCGGTGATGACGTAGACGACGGATCTACCACACCATCCTCTTGCTGTGGGTGATCAGGTGGGCCTTGGGTCTTTTGCTTTTTGGCAGAAGGAGGTTTTTCCAACCCTTGCCTATCGCAAACTCTTTCCTTTCGCTCGACCCATTTTTTCAAGATTGGGAACGGCTGCCATGCAGATGCAGCTTCTTATAGTTTACTCAAACGATTTTTGAATAAATACTCGATAATATATTTTCAGAATCGCTCATTAGACACTTATAAAATCATGGCCGGCAGAATGTGCATTGCATGGCATTTTTTTCGCCTTTGACATTTTTGGCAGAATGTGCATTTCCTTTAAACTCTCTAAACCTCCCTCCCTTCCTTCCTCCCATTCATTACATGCAGGTGCGTGGGCGGCCTTCCATTTCTCGAATGCTCTGTTTCTGACCTTTCTCTCGGAACAGTGTCGTCGATAGTTTGCCACGAATGTTCCGATAAACCTCAGCTTCATAGGTTCTCGTAGCAGCATGATCGGAAGACGACAGCAGGTCAGCAGCCTCGAAGGTGATGTAGTAGTTCTTGCCAGAGCACTGGCCCCAATTCGCCTTCACGATCTTAACAACTTTCAGCACGGATTCCTGCATACCATACAAAGACAGACAGACAAGCTCATCATCATGTCGCGAGATCTGATATAAACGACCAGGCACAAGCATCACATTTGACACCTGAGGAAAGGTACATCCAGTGACGTAGCCAGGATTCTAGGTAAAGGGTGCAATTTTTTTAAAAGTAAATTTATCTTATATGAAAAATTATGAATTATTGCAACGACACAATGTTTTTTACCCTCGAATGAAACTTTTAAAATATATATTATGCATATAAACTAACAAAGATTTATTGTCAATATATCTTACCAAGTACTTGTTAATCATTCAAATTTGTGTTGTTAAAGTCGGTCAGGTGATCATGGATAGTCGAGGAACGACGTTTGGAATGAGATGGTAGAGGCGCGCAACTTAGCAATCATGTTTGAGGATAATTAGATACTAACCTCGATAATTGACATAGTGTTATTATGAGAGAATAAGAGTCACCACACATTGGAGCTAACAATTATCTAAAAATTGGAGATTGAAACATTGAGTTATTCGCATGTTGTTTTGATTTGATTTTGTTTATGTGCAAACTATGTTTTAATCTATATAGCTGAAGATAATTTAAATGTATGATATTAATTATATTGTAGTTTCTTATTAGAAATACTAGTGATAGGAATAAGGCTCCATGTTAAGTGTTATTGTAAATAAACTAATATACCTACTTTTAATATTGTTATTGTTCCAATCCAAGGGTGTGCCTGGAACATAGGGGTGACTATATGGTCCGGTCCGGTTAAATTGGACCAAATTGATCCGGTCCCAACATGGTCTTTTCGGGAATATAAGGACCAAAGATTGGATTGGATACAGTCCGGTCTTGACCGGTCCGGTCCCAATTTTATCTTGATTTTAAGTGTTGGGGGTCTCTTATCCGGTTTTTTACCTCAAATCTAAGCCCGAATATGAGATTGCATTGTTTGCTATCCGGTCCCAGTCCGGTCCCGGTCCGGATTATACGGTCCGGTTTCGGGTAAAACCAAACAGTCCGGGACCAAGTAGCCAGCCCTAGTGGAACACCCTACCAATACACTCCCTCCGCCCTGGGTACACCCCAAATTATGCTGGCAACAAACATGTATGAACCATTTCACAAAGTATGTGCCCGGATAATTCAATGTCTCGATAATTAGCTCTCGGTCAGTCCATGATAGCACCACCACAACAACAACAATAACAACAAACACAGATAGATTCAGAGAGAAAGGCAGAGCAAAAGGCGATGAGGATCAGATACAAACCCCCTTGTGGTCTTCATTGTGTTGCCTAATCACGAAATCCACACACTCCTTGACATTGTTGCCATGCCGCTTAGATTCCAAGTTGACTGGCAGAACGCCGAATTCAATGATGTCCACAGGAGGAAGTTCTTCGCCCACATCAAATCCCTGCTTTGGGTGAGGGCAGAATTTGAATGATTCATTCAGCGCAAGGAACAGAGTATCACTGTAACACAAAAATTTAAGCCACAGTGCGTACATACCTCGCTTTTCAGAATCGTATCATAGAAGAGCTTTAACTTCTCCTGCCCGGCCTTGTCTTTGGGATACCAGATCAAAGGCTCTGACGGCGCCTGAACAAACACTTCGCGGACCGTGCCATCATCCTCCTCTTCCACGATTTCTATCTCGACATCCTCGTCGTCCTCCCCTTCATCGTCGACCTCGTCGTCTTTGCTCTCACCGGCTCCCTCGCGTTTTTGCTTCTTCAGCTCCGATTCAAGCACAGTTTCGGATCCAGGAGCGGATTCAAGAGGGAACGGCTGGGTATCCATGGCTGGAAAGGGATTGATTGGGAGAATGTAAGAACCGGGGCTGGAGTTTGAGGGGAAGGAAGAATGCGGGTAAAGGATGCAGAAACCCTAGTTCTCGGAACCAGGCTCTGATACCTAGGGGTGGCAGTCGGTCGGTTTCGATTTAACCGAAAACTGAAAATCCGGTTATCGGTTAAACCGAGCCACCCCCTATAGGTGCCGACCACCGACCGTGAGGTGTGTCACGGTTAGCCGGCCAACCGACCGATCGGTTTCAGTTTAAGGCACGGTTAGCCGGCCAACCGGAAAATGTAGCTTTTCTACAAAAAAAAAAGGAAAGAAAAGAAAAGAAATATTCTGGACCACTCACTCCTAATCCCTCTCACTTCTCTCAATTCTTCTTCTTCCTTTCTTCCAGAGAAACCCGCCGGCCCTATCCCTCTCACTTCTCTCGATTCTTCTTCTTCCTTTCTTCTTCCTTTCTTCCTTTCAAAATCAGTGATAACAGTAGCGAGAAGGAGAGACCAATTTTGAATTTCTCAAAATCCAATCAGAAACAGAGCGAAAAATCACGAGCCAGATTCAACGGCGAGCATCGGCGTCGGCGGTCTCAGAATAGGAAGGTTTGTTGTTGTCGTCGTCGGTTTTGAAGGAGGGGAGAGGATTACCGCCTTTGATGACCCACCCGAGGGCGAAGAAGGAGAGGCCGGCGAGAATCGCCGAACCCCAGGCTTGGTACGGAATACCACCTTCTATACTGCCTGATGGCGAGTATGCCTCCACGCGGGCCCAGCTCCAGGCAATCGTCCACTACGCCACCTCCCGGACCACGCCGCAGCAAAAAATCGACGGGGAGGAAACGACGATGGTGGAACAGGCGGGGTCGCTGGTTGAGAGGGGTCAACCAAAAACCAAAAACCCAGAAAAGGGGTCAAAATCCCAGCAAAACCCCAGAAAATCAAACATGCAAAACCATAATCCGCCACTTACCATCGATTTGGAGAGGGAAGGAATGGTTTTGGGGTCTCTGGTTCGTTTCGTAGAGAGAACAGAGGAGAAGGAGGAAGAGAGGTTTGAGCGCGGACGACGATGGTGGTGGCGAACGAGGAGAAGGAGAAGGAAACGGCTCGGAGTGCCGGCCAGCCTGCTCTCGACGACAATGGCGGAGATGAAGGAAGCAGAGGCGGGGAGGGGCGTTTGGACTTTGGAGCAGCAGGCGCGGAGGTCGGTGGTGAGAAGGGGGAAGGGCTGGTCGGTGGTGAGAAGGGGGGAGATGAAGGGAAGGGAGGAGATGAAGCGGAAGCGTGGGGGCGTGGGCGGCGTCGTTTAAGGGGGAAGGGCAGGGGTCGGTTAGCCGGTTAACCGCCGGTTTCCGACCCCGGTTAGTCGGCTAACCGGGGCCCTGATAATCCCCACCGCCAACCGACCGCCCTCTTCGGAATCGGTTTTTTCGGCTAGCCGAAAACCGGTCGGTTCGGTTGAAACCGACCGGTTAGCCGCTAACCGGAAACCGTTCGCCAACCCTACTGATACCATAAGAAATTTGGTAGAAGACAAATTGGAGGGGAACCCGCAAAGGGGCTCTTTGCCACTGAGGGCCTATATATATGAAAGAACAGAACTGTACAGCTAGCTATCAGTCCTAATTACAGAGTTACAACGGTAAACAAAACGGATTAATTGAAGTGACCTATACTAAACCAACACGTGGTGCTGTACAGTATAAATGGAAGAGTGTCTTGGCGCCTAACTGCGACGACGTCGTCCTTGTCTCTGCCTCTCGATTACTGCACAGCTGAATGACGTCGTATCAGTGGGTCCAAGGAACCAAGACCGGTTCATCCCTTCAATCAACTCTGATTCGATTCCTCTGTTATGCCCTCTCAAGCTGAGCATACAGGTTCGGTATGTTCAGCTTGGATAATAAGAACTGTAAACGAAACCTGCTCAAACCCTTTGTAAAAAGATCTGCAATTTGGTTCTCTGTATCCAGATGGTGAAGGGAAATGAGCTTGGACTGAAGGTATTGACGAACCACGTGACAATCGATCTCTATGTGTTTCGTCCTCTCGTGAAACACAGGATTTTCAGCAATGTATAGAGCTGATCGATTGTCACAGTAGACTTCTACTGGGCGAGGATGATGTACATTGAGTTCTTGTAGAAGTCTCTTAACCCAGACAATTTCACAGGTAAGTTGAGCTAGGGCCCGATACTATGCTTCTGAGGAGGAACGAGAAACTGTTCCTTGCTTCTTGGATCTCCAGATTATGAGAGATTTCCCTAAGGAAATACAGTAGCCTGTGGTAGATCGTCTTGTGTCAGGGCAGGAAGCCCAATCTGAGTCGCGATATCCCCTGAGTTGTAGATCAGAAGAGGATGGAAACAGCAACCCTTGACTTGGAGAGTTCTTCAAGTATTTCAACACTCTGTAAGCTAGCTGAAGATGTGTCGAAGTGGGAGCATCCTGATATTGGCAAAGTTGTTGGACAGCAAAGGTGATGTCAGGGCGTGTGATGGTGAGGTAGTGAAGGCGTCCAACAATCTTGCGAAATAGGGTGCCATTGTCAAGCAACGGACCATCATCAGCAGACAAACGAGTTTTCATATCAATGGGAGTAACTACAGGTTTTGAATTTGCAAAACCAGTATCAGTAAGTAAATCAGTGCAATACTTCTTCTGGCATAGGTGAATTCCCCCTGATGATCTGGCAATCTCGATGCCAAGGAAGTACTGGAGGTTGCCAAGATCACGGATTTTGAACTGTGAGCTGAGAAAGAGCTTGAGAGCTGTAATGGAGTTGAGATCATCACCAGCAATGATGATATCATCGACATAAACCAGAAGAATGGAGCTGCCTGAACTACTGTGATGAGTGAACATGGAGTAGTCACTATGAGATTGCTGGTAATTGAAGCTGAGAAGAGCATAAGTAAGTTTGGCAAACCACTGGCGTGAAGCTTGCTTCAAGCCATAGAGAGACTTCTTGAGTCTACAAACCATACCAGGTTGAGAAAGGCCAGGGGGAAGCTCCATGTAAACCTCTTCATTGAGGTCCCCATTTAGGAATGCATTGCTCACATCGAGCTGAAAGAGATGCCACTGCTTAGCTGCTGCCACAGCAAGAAGTGTTTTGACTGAGTTTAGCTTTGCAACAGGAGAGTAAGTGTCCAGAAAATCCAGACCATAAATCTGTGTAAATCCCTTAGCCACAACCCGAGCTTTATGTCTTTCAATGCTTCCATCGGGTAAGAGTTTGATCTTGTACACCCATTTACTGCCAATAGTTCTCTTATTAAGTGGTCTAGGCACAACCTCCCAAGTTTGATTTGCTGTAAGTGCATCAGCTTCCAGTTTCATTGCTTGGTTCCAACAGTCATGTTGTGCTGCTTCTTCATAGCTGCTTGGCTCAATGTTGGAGTTAAGAGCAAGCACATATGATCTGTAACCTGGGGAAAGATTGGCATAGGAAAAGCATGCAACCATGGGGTACCTAGGCTTGTCAACATTAGATTCCATTGATAAGACATAATCATTGTACTTGACAGGGGGATGATGGGCTCGAGAGGGTTTTCTGAGGGCAATCGGAAGAGAAGAAGAGGGACTATCCTGAGGAACAGGAATAGGGGAAGGGGTGTGAAGGACTGGAGAGGGGGAGTAGGGGTAGGTGGGACAGAAGAAGGAGATGGAGGGTCAGGCTGTTCCTCGGATGTGGGAAGAGGAGTAGAAGGAAGTGTAGTGTCAAAGTCTGGTGGTGGTGTGGTGGCAAAGAAAGAAGGCTCAGGTGGTACTGGTGGATCAGGAAGTGAAGTGGAATCTCGAGAAGACAAGTAAGGGAGGATGTTTTCATGGAACAAAACATCTCTAGAGTGGAAGAATTTGTGTTCAGAGAGATCCAGCAACTTAAAACCTTTAATTCCATGGGAATAACCCAAAAACACACATTGCCTTGCTCTTGGTTGGAATTTGGTGCGATGATGACTGAGTGTGCTGGCATAGCACAAGCAGCCAAACACCTTAAGGTCAGAGAGGTCAGGGGGAAAGCCATAGAGTGTTTCAAATGGGGTCTTGTGTGCAAGAGCAACAGTAGGTAGTCTATTAATCAAGTACACAGCATGTAGAACACAGTCAGACCAAAACTTTAGGGGAAGACCAGATTGGAATTTGAGGGATCTGGCCACATTGAGAATGTCTTGGTGCTTTCGTTCTACTCTAGCATTCTGCTGTGGTGTTTCAACACAGGAAAGATGATGAACAATGCCATGTTTGGAAAAGAAATCTGGCATGTGAAACTCTGCTCCTTGATCAGAGCGAATGATTTGAACCCTTTTACCATACTGATTTTGCACCATAATGCAGTAATCTTGTAAAAGTTTTCTAGCTTCACTTTTGTGTTTCATTAGAAAAGCCCATACACATCTAGATTTGTCATCAACAATGGTAAGAAAGTATTGAAATCCATTGTAAGAACAAACAACAAGTGTCCCCCAAATATCCACATGAATGAGTTCAAAAATACTCTTTGCCACAGATTGGCTTGAAGAAAAAGGTAAACGTTTTTGCTTGGACAAATGACAGACTTGACAATGTTGAACAGACTCAACACAGATGGTGGGAATGGTTTTCTGTAACTCCTTTACTCTATGCTGAGATGGATGGCCAAGTCTCTAGTGCCACAGGTTAAAGGATTGAGGTATGAGACTTTGTGTAGTTGTAGAATTGACATGTATGGTATGATCTCCTGTGTGTTGAATGAGCTGGTAAAGACCTCTAATCTCTTGGGCAGAACCAATCCTCTTGCTGGTGAGAAGGTCATTCTAATTTGCACTCTTTTTCTTTCTCGATGATGTTTATTGTTGGAATAGATTGGTCTATCACACTTCATGCGCTCTTTTAGAATCGCTTCTGTGGAAAATATTGGTTATTGTAACTTTCATTTCTCTACATTTAAATGTTGAAATTGATAAGGATAAGATGATGCACATAAATCCATAAATAATGACACATAAAGTCATAAAAGTTATTTCGGACATATTGCTACTACAAGAGCTACATTTTCTAGTTATCAAACGAAAAAAATTATTTCACATAATCAACATATATCATAAGATGTATATTAATGTAAATCAAATTATAACCCAAATATTAACAAGAAGGTTGGACTAGGTACAATATCTATTGACGACCTACGAGAAATAAGTAGCATCATTTTAGACAATTATATAATAAGATAATATAAATAAAAAATAAGAAGAGAAAACTGATGTATCTTAAACTAAAGAAGAAGATGAACAACAATAAGATAGTATGGAGAGGAAAACACAGAAGAAGAGAGGGGATAAGTTTTCTTATTCATGTGTCTTATTGGTATAATATGTGTTTTAATTCTAGTCACAAACCTCTACAATATACAACCCTATCATCAATGTACATAATAATGACTAATGAGCAATTAAGCTCAAATTCAAACGAGAGGAAAGAGATTATATGTAACACTCATCTAATATGCTAATCACATAATGAATATTATCATAACATAATAATAATTCTCTCAATTCTCTACCTCTCTACCGAGTTTCTTCCAAAGGGGTATTATGGCTTCTGTTGTCTGTGTGTCTTGCTTTGCTTGGGTTGTCTTTCTAATTCTCGTTCACTTGATTTTTACAGATTAATTAGCAACATGTGCTTAACACACTTGTCGAAGTTGTCAATCCAATTGTCGGTGCATGAAGCAAAAATCATTAATTGGCTAGTTGATCATCATCTTTCCCTAGAGGGCATTTATACAGATACCACCAACGCAAGTTCGGTAATGACTGCCAAGGGAAGGACAAGGTAAGAAACTTAATGGGCTCTTTCGACTTTATTTCTTTCATAAATATGTATTTAACATGTTGGTTTTGGTATTTGAAGAGAGCTGACAGGAAGGCCAAAACCATCCTGAAGAAGGACTTCACAACTACCGAGGAGGTGATGGAAAAAAACTTCTAAGGTTGGTCCACCAACAGCCCGTCATCGCTATTTTTGGAGCTACGACTGATTTTGTCTTTTGGTATGACAAGGTAAGTACAAAAACATACAACAATGTAATCATCCGATCATAGTCTCCGTTCGTATTCTTCCAACAATAACATAATAATAATTCTCCCAATTCCCTCTCTCTCTCTCTCTCTACCAAGTTTATTACAAAGGGGTATTATGACTTATGTTTTATGGTTATCTTGCTTTGCTTGGGTTGTCCTTTCTTGTGATTTCTCGCTCTTCTTTGATCTCATCATCGGAGTCAACCAACCTGCAATGTAAATCAAGGACATCCAAAACTAATCATGAAACTGATAAAAAAAAGTAAAAAAACTAGCTAGCAACTAATTTTGGAGAACAAACAAACAAACAAAACGAAGAATAAAAAATAACCTACCACAATTATGTTTCCGGGTCCATGTTAGTCCACAAACTTGCCACCACCAATTGGTCATAATATTTATTGTTGCGATTACGTTTGTACTCATCCAATGGTATAAGCAACTCGTCCTCCTCCATAGCATCGCTTGTTGCAATTACGTCTGTACTCATCCAATAATAAGAACCCAAATCACCCTAAAATGCTTACATAAGCAAACAAACCTGATCGTATAGTTTTCATGTTTATGTAGAAGCTTAAAATTTTTTACAAACACAAATTATAGGGGAAAAGATAAAAGCAAAAAGAATTAGAAAAAAGTGGCCGATTGGATTATAGGTGGACATATTCGGACCGTCTCCCCCATTACCCAATCACTTTCACTCCGCCCTCACCCTCGTCAAACATTGAAATCCCGCCGCCGCCAAATCTCCAACCTAGTGTTCTTGTCTTCCCCGACCAGCGCTGTTCGAGACCACCACCGTCAAACATTCTTACAATTGTACGCGGCAACAACAGTTTTAGTTCTGTGGGTAAGGGGGCAGCGAAAGAAAAGGAAGGCGATTGTCACTGTCGCCATCGTCTAGTAAGGTAAGGTCGTCCTCGTCCTTATCCCACTTTTTATGATGGTTTCTCATTGCCTCTTAGTCTCGATTTGTTGCCGATTCCTCTCTACCAACCCACTTGCTTCTCTTGGTCTCCATTTTTTTTTTTGCTTCTCTATGTCGGAATCTAATTCTCCTCACGCACCCATTTCCATTTTTCCTCGAATTATCTATAGAAGAATGTCTCACTAGACAAAGGGCAAAATGAGTGGCTTTAAGGCCAAACCCAAACCATGCCCCAAGATATTTATTGTGGCGTTCAGTTTGCTTAGAGACTTTACAGAGGCAATGAGGATCTACCCTTGGAGCAAGACTGGATCAAGGGAAAGTGGAGGAAAGATGACGATGGTAAGTGGAAGTCGGATTCCAACAGGAAAATGATCCTGGTGAGTCCCATTAGGGTCAAGAACCGGAAGGTAAACTAATTAATGCGTTGTTTGGGTGCATGAGTTTAGTTAATGTGGTATTTTTAATGAAAAACCTCTCTCTACCTTTAGCTCATCTTGCTTCCCACTAGAAGTTTTTCAAATCCAGATCTAGGATGAGTTGATTTCGATATTTTTTGTTGTCGGTGGTAGCCCAAATGTTTTTCTTTTGCTGCCTTATCCTTCGATCGTTGGTCCTCTACTTTCTTTTTCTGTGTTTTATTTTGTGTCTTTTTCATTTCTCCTATGGCTTCGCATTCATCTTTCATCCTTTGTGATGACGTCTTTCATGTCTCCCCGTGGAAATACTTTTGCCCCCCCCCTACCAAAATGACCTCTAGATTTGTCTGGATGTCTCTTTGGTTGGTGTTTGAGGGAGACGAATTAGTCGGTTCGCTTGCTCCTCTCTAGTCCTCCATCTACCTCCTATTTGTTTCATCCTAGTGGTGCTTCTTGTACTTTATTCTTCTCGTTGTAAGATTCCAAGGCTTTCTTAGCAAGCATGGTGATTTTCCTTCTCTTGATTTCCCATTCTTCTTCGTTCTCATCATCGGAGTCAAACCACTTACAATGTAAATCAAGGACAACCAAAAATAATCATGAAACTAGTAATAAAAATAAAAAACCTAGGTAACAGCTAATTCTGGAGAACAAGCAAACAAACAAAATGAAAAAAAAAATTCTCCCACCACATTACCCCATTACCACTCACTCTCAATTCCCAAACACTCTCGCCAAAATCTGAAATATTGTCGTCGCCAACATCTCCTTCCCTGCGTTCTTGGTGTGAGCGGGGCAACAACAGTTTTAGTTTTCCAGTTGCAATCTGGTAAAGTAAACTCGTCCTTCTTCCCTGTTCCAATTTTTGTGCTGGTTTCTCATGGCTTTAAGGCCAAACCCAAACCATGCCCCAAGGTACTTCTTCTGACATTCAATTATCTTTAACTTTTGCTTTTTTTTACGTCCTCTAGAAAAAAGATGGCGATGGCAAGTGGAATGAGGACCCCAACGGTAAAGCGATTCTAGTGAGTCCCGTCAGGGGACATAAAACCCTAATAAAGGGAACCAGGGGGTATGTTGATTACCTCCTGATCATGTCATGAGGGATGCTCCAACACTTAGCCAATTTTCAGAATAAGAATGACTTAAAGTGGCACATACACGATGCCATGGGTGTCATAGGCCCAAAATCTTGATGCAAGTGATCCATCTTAATTGTTTTTAATTGTTATAATTAAGTTGGCCTTATAAAGTCATTTAATCTCTTGTATTTAATTGATGTGGTACAAAGTCAATTTTGTTGTAAGCAACTAACAGAGAAATGTGTGGAGTAGACAATAGAAAATTATGAGGAGCATAATTATAATAAGGACTCTCATAATCTCCACTCTCTTCTAATAATTAGCTACGTGTGCGTACTGTTTGATGAAGACTGCACCAACACGTATCAGGTCACGAACGTATGTATTGACGCGGCGCACAACATAAAGTATAGCTCGGAGTTGCCGATCCAGTTGTCAGTGCATGATTTAGTGGACTACATGAAGCACAAATCCGTTGAGTATAAGGATTCAGCAAGAGTGGAGGTCATTCTGAATTGGGTGGTTTACAATCACCTTTTCCTAGAGGAAAACTATAGGCATACCACCGGCAAGCTCGGTACTAACTGCCAAGGGAAATAGAAGGTAGAAATATAGAAATTTTCCACCTCTCATTTCATCTATCTTTAATTAGCGGCCAAAACTAAAGAGTCTCTCACTCTAACATTGTACCTAGACAAAAAATAGAAAAACTAAAGACATTGGCCCTTCGAACAACAGAACTCAAATTTCGAATCCACAACTTTGGCTATGAGCCAAACATGAAAAAATCGCTATGATAACATCACGAAACTACTCAAGTCAGTTTCACAAATTCCAACTTATCCACATTTGCAATTCACAATGAAGTTGACAAATATGTCATTCCCTGATCTCAACCAAAAACAATCACATTTTCCCGTCTGCTAATTGTATGCCAACACAATCCATGCATGTTTAGGAGAAAATGCAAAATTGGGAAGGAAGGAAACAGAACGGAAGGAGAATCACACAAGAAAGATTCCGAATTGGAAAGATGAAATGGATAGAGAATATGATGTTTTTCGAAGCCATCTAGAAAACCATATTCTTACCTATTATGTCGATTTTTGTACATAAGATCGAGTCAACTTATATTTGTGTTAAACCAAAATTATACATCTCATCCTCTTAGATGATATTTTCTTTTTTAATGCTAGATTCTTATTTTCGGTGAACCATCATTTTTTATGCACTCTTCCTATATTTTTTCATACATTTTCCTTTTTATGATAGTTTCTCTTAATTAAAAAAAAAACAAAGGTTTTGTTTGATTCACTTGGTAAAATGGTTTAATTATCTGTCACCATTTTTATAATGTTAGTTTAGAGCTAATGACTTTTGATGAAAACAAAAGCCTATAAGAAAAATAAAAAAACAAAAAATATTGATTATAAAAATGAAAGTGGATGAATAAAACATAAAATTATAAAAATATTAAGTTGATGAAAAATAAGGAAAATGTAGTTTTGTTTGTTGGTTATGAACTTTTAAGGTGTGCTGATGATTGGTGATGGAAATGGATCCAATCAAAATTGTAAAGGATAAGTAGATAGAATTAAGATTTCATAACACCTTTATTTGCGTGTGTGAGTGTTGCGGCTAGCTGTTTTCGTGATTCACTCTGCACCCGGATGTCTTCCTTTTAGGTGTTGAACCTGCAAGCTGGTGATATTCTGAGAGCCAACAAGTGAGTTGTTCATGGAGCAATTACTACATCACATTTAAGACCACTAACTTGCATGCATGGCTCTAGTCATGCTCAAGAGCGAGCTCCTTAATCACACCATACAAATCTTATGCATAAATAGCCAATTAAATAGGTAAAGAGAATGCAATGAAATAATTCCTCGCATTGAATTGAATGCGCAAAATGAGGTTCTTTATCCACAAACAACAGATTTGGTAAAGAGGGGATGTTATTAATAAATTCCCAAATTGAATTCGATACCTTAGGGCGTTGTCTCTGCTGTGGTTTAAACCCATTTGTTGTCCCTTTTATATTTTGAGGCATTCTAGCCGACTTGCTCGCTGGAAAAAAAAGAGGCGTGAGGAGACCGCAAGATACAGATAGACGAGAAGGGAAGATGAGAGAAAGAAAGAAGAAAGACCGAAGCGGCGGTGGCGGCACTCCCATTTCTTCCACTCCCCCCAATCAGACAGGATAGTAGAGAGTTCTTCCAAGATCAATAACAACTAACAACAGATAAACTGGAGAAGGATAGAAGGAAGAAAGGAAAGAAAGTGTTTGATCTTGATTAGTACCAGGCGATTTGTAAGAGCCTTGATATGCAATCCCTCGTCTAATATCCTCGGGAGGGGAAAACAAAAGCCTATAAGAAAAATAAAAAAAACAAAAAATATTAATTATAAAAATGAAAGTGGATGAATAAAACATAAAAATATGAAAATATTAAGTTGATGAAAAATAAGGAAAATGGAGTTTTGTTTGTTGGTTATGAACTTTTAAGGTGTACTGATGATTGGTGATGGAAATGGATCCAATCAAAATTGTGAAGGATAAGTAGATAGAATTAAGATTTCATAACACCTTCATTTGCGTGTGTGAGTGTTGCGGCTAGCTGTTTTCGTGATTCACTCTGCACCCGGATGTCTTCCTTTTAGGTGTTGAACCTGCAAGCTGGTGATATTCTGAGAGCCAACAAGTGAGTTGTTCATGGAGTAATTACTACATCACATTTAAGACCACTAACTTGCATGCATGACTCTAGTCATGCTCAAGAGCGAGCTCCTTAATCACACCATACAAATCCTATGCACAAATAGCCAATTAAATAGGTAAAGAGAATGCAATGAAATAATTCCTCGCATTGAATTGAATGCGCAAAATGAGGTTCTTTATCCACAAACAACAGATTTGGTAAAGAGGGGATGTTATTAATAAATTCCCAAATTGAATTCGATACCTTAGGGCGTTGTCTCTGCTGTGGTTTAAACCCATTTGTTGTCCCTTTTATATTTTGAGGCATTCTAGCCGACTTGCTCGCTGGAAAAAAAAGAGGCGTGAGGAGACCGCAAGATACAGATAGACGAGAAGGGAAGATGAGAGAAAGAAAGAAGAAAGACCGAAGCGGCGGTGGCGGCACTCCCATTTCTTCCACTCCCCCCAATCAGACAGGATAGTAGAGAGTTCTTCCAAGATCAATAACAACTAACAACAGATAAACTGGAGAAGGATAGAAGGAAGAAAGGAAAGAAAGTGTTTGATCTTGATTAGTACCAGGCGATTTGTAAGAGCCTTGATATGCGATCCCTCGTCTAATATCCTCGGGAGGGGAAGAATTTGTGGAGAGGTAGGGGTGCCCCCCGTGTTCTACACTCCGACGCTCAGGTAAGTACGAGATAGATGATAGTGTGAATATGGAAAGTAGAGAGAATAGGTTCAGATCCTGGCGGGGAGTTCTCCTCCACTCCTCTCCATGTCTTCCTTAAGTCTCAGGCATTTCAGTTCAACAATCATGTCCTGGCATTTCCCAACAAAATTGTCTTTTCGAACGAAAACATCAACATGTTTTAGCATGAACTCAGGCTATGTTGTTTCATGCACATGTCCCGGCTCGATTTTGGGTCAAAGCAGTTCATACCATCGTTCATCTCATTAATAGGCAACCCAATTTTACTCTCAATAATCTAACCATTCTACAAGCTATATTCTAGACACCCTGACTATTCACGTCTACGTGTCTTTGGTTATACCTGTTATGTTCTTCTTCCCCACAAAGAAAGAAAAAAACTCTCACCTCAAGCCACTAAATGTGCATTCATGGGTTATAGTGACATTCACAAAGGATATGTTTGCTATGATCATGTGGCGCGAAGGATGCATATCTCGCCTAGTGTCTTTTTCATCGAGTCGGAGATGTACTTTGCTCCATCATCTTCCAGTTCGAGTTCGTCACAGGAGGCTTCCAAGGTGTCTAGTAATCTTATTGCATCATTTATTCCTTTGGTTGAACATATAGGACCTACTACTGATCTCCCTACCCCTAACAACTCCTCAGATTCAAACCATGATGATAGTGATGATGCAACTTTAGTAGGGGATTCTACTACCTCTCAATCAGATCATGACGGTGCAGTAGATCCTCCCAGTCCTCCTCTTGGCCTGCGGCGTTCTTCTTGATCGAATTGGGCCAACCGCCACCTTGGCTTTATGACTATGTTGGATTCTCTACTACTCCAGAACTATTCCTACATGTTATGCCCAGGCAGTTGGCCACCCCGAGTGGGACGCAACTATGAAGGAAGAGCTTTCGGCTCTTGAAGAAAATGATACTTGGCTTGTTTTCAATCGCCCGCCTCCTCCTTGTTCAATAGTATGTTGGAAGTGGGTATATAGTATCAAACGCCAGTCTGATGGCACAATTGAGTGCTACAAAGCACGTCTTGTAGCTCAGTGTTTTAAACAGGCTTATGGGTGGATTATGAAGAGACTTTTGCGCCTGTTGCTCGCATGCAGACTGTACGTACTATGCTAGCGGTGGCTTCTATGCTTGGTTAGCCTCTCTTTCAACTTGACGTCAAGAATGCATTCTTGCATGGTGATCTTAACAAGCTGCGTTTTATGAAGTTCCCTCCTAGCATTTGTAATTCCCATGGAGATCAAGTATGTTTGTTGAAGCGGTCTTTGTATGGGTTAAAACAAGCTCCACGGGCATGGTTCGAAAAGATCCATAATACTATCTTGGGTATGGATTTTTGGCAGATTAACTCGCTCCAATCATGGTATTTTGTCTCTCTAAAGAAATATATCACTGATATATTGACTAATGCCAGGTACTCCGAGTGCAAGCCTTGCTCTACGCCTATGGAGTTGAACACCAAGTTTAGCGTTGATGATGGTGAATTATTACCAGACTCTACATTTTTCAGGAAACTTGTCAGTAGCCTTATCTTTTTAGATTCGACACGACCTGACATTGCTTATGCAGTGCAAGTGGTGAGTCAATTTATGGGACAGCCTCGTCAACCTCATTTGGTTGC